CAAACAGTACTCTGCTGAATGTGTCTTTGGTGACAGTGACACTCCTTTCCTTCCCGACATACGACGAACATTACCATGAATGGCAGGTCGCGCCGACGGTGTCGTGGTATCCGCATCACCGTCCTCATCGGGACGGTTTATTTGACCTTTCTTCTTTATCCGCTAGGACAAGCAGCCAGGCACCCGAAAGACCTGTTTAGTGCCGCCTCATTACTCTTTCCCGGAATTGAATCTGAGCGATAAACTTCGCTCTTTCTCCGGTCAACGCGTTGTTTACCGGCACCCGCCACACCGAGCCACTATCCTCATTCTATACCTCCGATGATTTGTTTCTGATGTAGTTTTCCAGAAAGCGCTGACTATGGTGTCGGAGTGCACGAATTCCGGATCCGACGACATGTTCGCCTCGTCCCAAATTGCGAGCGAGTGCACGATCAGAACTGTCTTGGTGCCTTGTCCGACTCGCTAATATCTCCGCTCAGATCGAGCCTCCCCTCGTGTGTGTTCGGGTCGCATTGCCTGTGGCGTAAAACCGAGAATGACTGACTGATGGATAACTCGGTAAAGCTTCAGGGAGGTGAGTACGTACGTCAACTTGCCTTGAAAGTCGGGGTATTGCACCTCAAGTCTAGTACCACTTGTTCTTCTCCCCTACATTTCAAAGCAATGCCGTCTCCAGAATTTTACCAGTACTTGCTATTCATCTCCCAGCTCCTTCCTCCTCCTTTGCTGACTTGGCCTCGTGTAGACCCCCGTCTTTCACGACACTCCAGCTACATGCAGGCCAAGTCCCCGACTCTGCGACACGGGCACGTGCGCCGCCAATTTACGCCTCTGCGGGGTTCACGTTCAAGAATTCTCTCCATGGAGCGGAGCTGTTCGAGTTCAAGGCCAAGGGGAATGTGTATTCACGTATGGCGAATCCCACGATTGTAGGTGATTTAATGCGGCACGAGTTACATTTATGTGGGTGTCTTCAGGAAGTCTTCGAAGAAAGGATCGCGGCGCTGGAGGGCGGTGTGGCGGCTGTGGCGACGTCGAGCGGGATGGCAGCGGAGTTTATGGCGCTCGCGACAATTTGTAGGTTGGGCGATAACGTGGTTTGTCCGTAAGTTTGGCATTTTCTAGGATTGTTGGTGTTAAGTACTTATGGGGTGCGTGGTAGGACCTTCTTGTTTGGAGGGGTGAGTGGTGAACACGCTTTCAGTCTTGTGACATAACTAATTATTTCATTTCAAGACGTACAATTTGTTCAAAGGTACGTTCTCGACTTGAAGCTACGACAGTGAGGTTATTGATTATTGTGGCGCGCGCAGTAACCCTCCCAAAATTTGGAATCAACGTCAAGTTCGTGCCTTCTGTCAAAGCGGAAGATCTGGAGGCTGCGATAGACGACCGCACGCGTGCGGTGTACGTCGAGACGATGAGCAACCCGAACTACGACGTCGCTGACATTCCTGCCATCTCCAAGGTGTGTTTATTTTTCCCTTCCTCGCCCCCGACTCTAATTCCAGCTCCATCTAGATGGCCCACGCGCACGGCATTCCCCTCGTCGTAGACAACACCTTTGGCGCTGGGGGGTACTACTCCCGGCCCTTTGAGCATGGCGCAGACGTGACAACCCACAGCGCGTCTAAATGGATCGGAGGGCACGGCAACGTCATCGCCGGGGTCGTCGTCGACTCTGGTAGATTCGACTGGTCCCGGCACGCGTCCAAGTTTCCGCACTTTACCGAGCCCAACGACGGGTACCATGGGCTCGTGTTTACGGAGCACTTTCGCGGGAAAGGCGTGCTGGCGGCGAAAATGCGACTTGAACTGATGCGAGACGTCGGGTTGACGATGAGCCCATTTTCGGGGTGGTTGTTAATTCAGGGATTGGAGACGCTGAGTTTGAGGGCGCAGAGGCATTCGGATAACGCATTGGCGTTGGCGAGGTATTTGAAGGGACATGAAAAGGTTACTTGGGTGGTGTTTCCTGGGTTGGAGGAGCATCCAGAACATGAGCTTGCGAAGAAGCTGTTTAGGAAGGATACGTGGGGTGCAATGTTGAGTTTTGGGGTGAAGCCGAGGATGGAGGGCGGGCTGGAGATGGATATGGGAGCGCGAGTTGTGGATTGTATGAAACTGGCGACCAATATGGCTAATGTGGGGGACTCCAAGACGTTGGTGATTAATCCTGCGACGACGACGCATCAGCAGTTGACGGAAGAGGAGAGGCGGGGGGCGGGGGTGACAAGTGATATGATTCGGGTTAGTGTGGGGATTGAGGATGTGGAGGACATTATACACGATTTTATGAGCGCGCTTGAAGTAGCATTCAGTTAGTACTGCGTAGAGTTTTATTTGACTAGAGGTATTTTCAAGAGTGTACAATTGTGTGCCGCGGTACTGTGGTTCAATTTGTGGCGAACTCCTTTTGGTGGTGTGCACAGCCACCGACGGATCATTGACCTGTCTCGATTTTGTTGTGTCACTGTCTCTAACGATGAGCTCGCCCCCGCCTGAGACGATACTGTCGGCGTCGCCCACTTCGATACGGGGCGGCTCGCCTGTGCGACGTCGGGACAGTGTCAGTCCCAGTGACGAGCGACCTCGGCTTTCTCCAACACTCGTGCGCTCATACGATCTTAATGACCCAGAGATTAGAGAACGACAACGCACCATGGACGTGGATATGGCCATGCACCTGTCGAGGGCACGGCGAGATACCGTGAATGCGTCGCCTGGCTCGTCGCCGTACGAGCACCCAGCCCCTTCCGAAGACACATTTCATCCCATCTCAGCGCTGTCGCCTCACGAAGAGGAAGAGATGCACATTGCACGGGGAGATGCCGCCATGGTATCCACGGCGGATATCACAGACAGAGATTCGGTGACCACCAAACGGCAGCCGTCATTCGTCGATCTACGCGGACACATTCATACAGGACAAGACCCAGCGCTTCTGGTCTCTCTAGGCGACACTCGCGAGCATCCTTCCGCCTCTGTCTTTGCCCTACCTTCCTACCAGGCGAATGCCTCGCGTTCGCAGTTTGATTTCTCCGTTATGGAGGACTTTGCTGAGGTCGAGAAGACAAATCTTGGAATATCATCGCCCACGACCAAGTTTGCCATCCCTCCGCCGCGCGCGTCGGCATCAAAAGCAGCACCAGAGGAGCCCTCGGATGGGCCTTCTGCGTTTACTATCCCCACACCACGGTCCCGGCAGCGCAAGCTGAGCCAGAGCAACTCTAATCCGCGCATGCGCAAAGGCGCTGGAAAAAAGCTCGCATTGTTCGAGGGCAATGCGGGAATCTTGCCTTCATCTAGTCCAGGCCGAATGAACATCCTGGGCGGAACGGGCGCGTCTTCTAGCGACGATCTACCCGCGCTAGCCTCGACCGGACCAACCTTTGGCGTGCACAACACGGGCCATGACCGACCATACCGGTTCTCCTTTTACTCGAACGCCCTCTCCGCTACCATCCACGCGCGTAGCCTTAGCGAGCTACCGGCGGAAGGCCAAACATTTCGGGACCTTTTCACAGGCCTCAAGTCGCCACAAGAGCCTCCTTCCATGTTCACCAATGCCCGCATTCCCCAACGATCAGCTAGCCATGGTTATTTCCCGCACGAGAAAGGTGCACGAGGAGGAAACGATGATTCCGAAGGCTCGACCTGGTGGCTTGACGTACAGAGCCCGACGGATGAGGAAATGAAGATACTCAGCAAGGTTTGCTACTTCATCTACGGTCGTCACGGTTTCTGAGGTTTCTCTAGGTTTTCAACATCCATCCCCTCACTACGGAAGATATCCAAATGGAAGAAATTCGCGAGAAGATTGAGCTTTTCAGGAACTACTATTTGGTTTGTTTCCGTAGCTTCGACCAGGATCAGTACAGCCCCACGTATCTCGAGCCGCTCAACATGTATATTATAGTGTTCCGGGAAGGTACATTATCGGTAAGCTCTGCTTATCTTTCAAGTCATCCTCCAATAGATTTTGAGTGTGTGTATCTTACCAGTTTCACTTCCGACCCACGCCGCACCCGCAGAACGTCCGCCGTCGTATTAAGCAGCTCAAGGACTATATCAGCGTCACATCTGACTGGATATCGTACGCGCTCATTGACGACATAACAGATGCCTTTGGTCCGCTCATTCAGAGTATCGAGTATGAAGTCGATAGTATAGATGAGCTTGTGCTCATATTGAAAGAGGCAGAGCAGAGCGATATGTTGCGGAGAATAGGAACATGCAGAAAGAAGGTCATGGGTCTCCTTAGACTCATGGGCAACAAGGCGGACGTTGTGAAGGGTTTGGCGAAGCGGTGCAATGAGAACTGGCAGGTCGCTCCCACGTCTGATATTGCAAGTGCCATTTTTCTACGTCGTCTTCAACGATTTCTGACATTCCGTTACTGTAGGGATTATATCTTTCGGATATTCAGGACCATTTGATTACGATGACGCAGAATCTCAATCATTATGAGAAGATTCTGTCGCGGTCGCACTCGAATTATCTCGCGCAGATATCGATTGAGATGACGGACGCGAACAACCAGATTAACGATGTGCTGTCCAAACTCACTGCGCTCGGTACGGTGCTCATCCCGATGAATTTGGTGACTGGTGAGACCTTCTTCCGGTTCCAGTGGCGCGCATATTGAACCACGACTCCGATTAGGTCTTTGGGGTATGAACGTCCACGTTCCTGGCGAGGATGTCCCTGTAGGTGGTCTTTTGTCATCTTGCGCTGATGCTCAATGGTCTGTCGTTAGGGATACGCGTGGTTCATCTCTATCGTGGCGTGTCTGGCCGCGTTCGCATTGGTTGGGGGGTATTCTACGTACAAATTCATGGTACGGCAATAGACTTGGCATTGGCATTTACATATCATTAGGGAACCGGTATTGTTTACACTCTGGCACAGTTTTAGGACTCACATTCACGTATTTTGAGGGCAAGAAATCAAGGATAAAGACCGTGTAATAGCTGCCAGAGGAGAACGTCACTCAAGCCCCCGTTGTCTAATGGTTATGACGTCAGACTTCTACATGTGTTATGGAATCTGGAGGTTGCGGGTTCGAGTCCCGCCGGGGGTTCTACGCGATAAGATGAAAGTCAGTCCTTTTTTCCGTGGGACTCGGGCCGAAATGTCCTTGGCGCAGTAAACCTCAAGGCTGTTACATCGATACCGGCCCCCCAGCAGGCTCAGGCTTCGAAATTGTTAGTAACGGTTTCGATACCGGCCTGTGTGTCAGACACGTGATGTGGCGCAGCGCCATGCTGCCCTCATCCCGCCCTAGTCCCGCCACCCCTAAGCTCTCTGAGCACTGGCGCACCGGCCCGTGAAGTAGTCACGGGCTGGCACTGAAACCTACCCACCAACCCTTGACAGTCTTAATACCGTATCAATACCTCCTTTTAAGCAGGCAGTGCGATGACCACGGCGACAGATTAGGATTGCATTTGCAGCTAGCTATATATTGCTGCGCGTGTCCAAGATTTGAAGACTGGCTTGAAGGGCGTGTTGTTTATCCTGTTACTATGCAGCCTTGCGGATTCATCAGGATTGGTTGAATTTAGGTGCCTAATCCTAATGTACAGACCTCTAAGCTCTTCTCCGACCAGCCACCTCCTCCCCGTCAGCGTCAAAATAGCCCACGCCTTGCAACCAGGCAATACACTTCCTCACGCCCTCCTCCGTAACCGACATGTTCTCCCACTCTTCCTTACTCGCCAACAACTCTTTGAGAGCCCCCCCTCCCACCGTGGGACTACCCCCAAACAAGCCCTCGAGGACATGGCTAAGCGGCTCCAGCGGGGTCCTCACCTCCCTCACACGCCTCAAATACTCGTCCAGCGGCACCAGTGGGACACCCACAACCTTGTGGAAATCGTCAAACGACAGTAGACTCGGCGCCGTCACATCCACGGCGCCCACCGCCTGGCTGCACATCACCGCTCGCACCATAACCCTCGCCGCCGCACGCACATGGACGATGTTCAGAGTTTTGGTGCAGCAGGCGCGCATCCCAGCTGCCTAGAGGTCTTGATAACGCGCCATATAAAGTCGTCCGTGTTGCAGCGGCCCCCTGGCTGCTCCCCACCAACAAAACAGCACCGTACGACGCAACCCGCCATGCCCCGCCCCTGCGCCTCCCGCATCAGCGCCTCGCACACCCACTTGCTCTGCGTATACCCATTACTCGGCGGCGTCTCGAGTGTCCCAGTGGACGACACAAACACGATGCGTTTGCGTATCTTGATGAGCTCGAGGAGGGAGAGCACGTTTGCGGCGCGCACACGGGTGTAGGGATGTGTCCAGTGTACAACGGCACCATTGTGCAACAGCACGTCACATGAGGAGACGAGGGCATAGTCTGCTTCAGAGAGTCCGAGCTGGGGGCGCGCCAGGTCCCCAAACACCAGGTGTAGTTTTGGTGATGGGGAAAGCGATGCTCCTCTTACTAGGCATACCACCTTGGTTATAGTGGGCTCAGCCAGAAGACCTTGGAGTATGTACCCACCCAGGTATCCCGTCGCGCCAGTGAGGAAGACAGTTTTTGGCGACGATGCAAGCGGGAACGAGGCAGGGATGGATGCCAGGAGACGCGCAACGTCGGATTTGTAGTCATCCTCGTGCGGAACGTCGCCCTGGATGAACGCTGCACAGCCGCGCACGGTGGACTCGTATACGGCCTTGTACGGGAGTGGTCTGAATGTAAGGCGGAGGGCGTGGAGGACCTGAGGTGCGAGGATTGAGTGTCCGCCAAGGTCGAGAAAGGGTGTTGTGAGCGGAACACGGAAGCCGAATAAAGTGCTCCATATTTCGCGTACTTTTTCCTCGAGCTCGGATCCTTGCTCTTCTTCATACGACGGAGGCGGCCATGTAAGAGCAGGTTTGTCAACTTTGCCATTGGGATTCAGAGGAAGCGACGGGAGCGATATAAGGTCTGAGAAATGTCAGCGTGCATTTGAAAGAAAAACAAGGAACTCACGGGTAGGAACACTGTAGGCAGGCAGTCTCTCCTTTAACCACTTGCGCACATCTCCCTTTCCCACGTAATAACTGACCAACATGCCCTCCTTGACGAGCGTTGCAGCAGCTGTGACACCGTGACACGCACGAAGCACAACATCCACCTCACCCAACTCGACACGGTATCCCCTTATCTTGACCAAATTGTCCTTGCGGCCCGAACACTCGACATTACCATCGGCAAGGTACCGGCCCAGATCACCACTCTTGTACATCCTGTCCCTCGGACCCTTCCACTCGACACGCAGGGTATCAGCAATCGGCTCCGTCCTGAACCAGTTGGTCCAAAACTTGTCGCTATCTTCACGCCCAGGTAGCCCTCACTCATGCCCCCACTGCGCACATAAATCTCGCCCACTTCGCCCACGCCACACAGCCTTTTAGTCGTTGGATTGACAACAAGGAGCTGCACGCCCCTCATGCCCTTCCCCGCGGGAATAACATCCTTCACCTCCGGCATCCCCCCACCCGCCTCGATAGCATAGTAGGACACCGCCCTCTGGGTCTCTGTACTCCCATACATATTAATAGTCCTCGCATTCGGACACAACCTCCTCACGCGCTCGCAGTCCCCCTTTGTGAGGATATCCCCCGTCAAAAAGGCATTGGTCAGCGAGGGCATCGTCCCCTCCTCCTCCTGGCTCTGACACATGATCCCCGCCATCCCGGGCGTCATATGCGCCGTGGTGATGCCGCACTCTCTCATCCACCTCGAAAGGACGCCGTCTTCACCTCTGTATGTGGCCTCGGAGGGTATGTAGAGTCGCGCTCCAAAGAAGAGCGGCGTGAAGAGGTCCCTCTGAATTGGGTCGTGCGCGATGCCGCTGAGCATGGCGAACCTTGCCGACCCATTCAACCCAAAGCGGCTGCCTATGAATGGGTAAAAGGCAGTGAGCGAGTGGTGTCGGCCTTGTACACCCTTGGGCGTGCCAGTGCTCCCGCTTGTGAATGTAAGTGTCGCGATCGAGTCTGGGCCAATACTGACGGCGTTGTATTCTTCATCTTTGCAGTCCTCCATGACTAGTCCTTCTACTTTGACGACTCGGTCGCCCAGAGCATTCCGCACCTCTTGACACACAGTCCCCGCGCGCTTGATGGCGACAAATCCCTTTGGCTGGGCAACGTTGACGTACAGAGCCTGACGAAGAGGTGGGTATGCAGGATCTACAATGCACAGACCTGAGGAAGGTTAGAGAAAGCACAAGACAAGGACGACGACTTACTCCACCAGTCATCAGGATACCCAGAGCACATACCAGCATTTCGACGCCACGGAACGCATATACCATCACCACGTCGCCTTTCTCTATACCCTTCAACCGTCGGGCCAATACCTTTGCAGCACGATCAATGGCCGAGTAGCTATACTCTTTCACCTCTTCTCCAGAGTAATCGACGACGCACACCCTCTCCCCAGAAACGCTTTTAAACACATTTGTAATCGCGCCCTGCCACGCACACCACCCCAAGTCCGCCGCAGGGTCTGGGAGTGTTGCTTGTGATGCAGTCACTAGTGAAATCTCCATCACCTTGTCTTCGGAAGAGACAACAGCTTGAATCTGTTCAACGAGGAACTCCATCCGCGACCGCGCAAACACACGCCCGTCGTACTGCACTTTCACCTCTCCATCCTCTATAAACAAGCCTGTCTGTGCACCGAGCACGCCAATGCCAACACCAACACCCTCTCCTCCTTGCTCAAGTAAAACGGCGTTCAACACGTCTTTGAGTGACCATGCGCAGTCGGAAGGAAACGTGACTCGTGCCACGCCCAAAGGAACGAGAACAGCGACATCCGCATCTCCCGTGAAACGATGGAGCAGGACCAAGAGCGCGGCAGCAACAGACTTTTCTTGATCGTCGTCTTCGAAGAATTGGAGATGGCCCGTGTAAGAGTCCCACTCTGTACACGCTTGAGGTGTCTGTGGGTAGTCTGTAGGTAGACGAGTATGCGGAACCTGCTAAACGTTCAATATACAAGGGTTTAAACGGAAAGAGTGCTTACAGGCGCTATTTGCGAGTCCTTGTCGCCTTGATTTTGCATCTATGAAGGCTAATAGTTAGACAGAGTAGAACAGAAAAAGAGAAACAACATACCTCATCGAGTGCAGCTCTTGTCGTGGACTGTCAAACATTGGATACTTGTCTCGAAAGCAAGAATAAACCCGAATAATACCATTTCAGAATGGTGAGAGCCATTTTCAACCTTAAAGTAGGATCAGCGACAACGAACGACCAATAGTGGACGACCCAACGCACAGTAGAAAGTTTACTGAGAGCCATGTTGACTGGAGTACGAGCTTGAGCTGAAACGAACAAGCTGCTTGTCCTGTCCCGTACCCAAGAAGGATCCATGCTCCAGCTGCGTACATCTCTGCTCCGCTTGAAGCGATCGCGTTATCCCGCAAGTTAGTGTCTAAGAAAGCATTTATGGCGTAGCATTCGAAAAGGACAGTGGACGAAATGTGGAAGCGACGACGACTGAGTATCCCCAAAGTTGAATCCCGACTTGGCATTCAGGCCGTCTGTCAGTTGACGCGCAAGCTACTCCGCGGATGGAAGTAAAACGCCAGTGTCAACATAATCCTGAAAGCACGGTGCGACCGGTTCCGAAGAGACGGACAGAAGAGAAAGACCTTTGGGGGCGATCGCATCCCGAGTCGAACTCTAATAAATCGCCTTCCTTTCAAGCCGCTCCTTTCCATACCATGGCACCCACCCTCACCATCCACTCCACCCTCGCACTTTCCACCAAAAAGACTATCCCTATCCTCGGCTTTGGCGTCTACCGCAACCCGCCCTCTACATGTGTCGCCTCCGTCCTGCACGCCTTGCGCGCCGGCTACCGGCACATCGACACAGCGCAGTTCTACGAGAACGAGGCCGCCGTCGGCGAGGCCGTGCGCCTCTCCGGCATCCCCCGCGCCGAGGTGTTCATCACCACGAAAATCCAGTCAAAGGACTTTGACCGCGTGCCCGAGGCAGTGGACGAGAGCCTCGCCGCGCTCGGAGATGACTCATCGTACATCGACCTGGTGCTGCTCCACGAGCCGTATGGCG